ATATATATATATATGTATATGTGTATGTGTGTGTGCGTAAGAGAGAGAGAGATAATCTAACCCTTTTTATTGGTCTTTATATATTCCTTTTATGTATTCTAAACTGAGATTTTTCAATCAATAGAATAGTACTCACTATTTCTTTATACTCTTCTTCCTCTATACTTTTGTTCTATATTTCCATTGTCAACAAATGGTACAACAGGTTTGTATCTGTAATTGAAGACAAAACTTAATAGTAATCACTTTTTCTTTATAAACTCTTGTTCCTCTTTGCTTTTGTTCTATATTTCCATTGTCAACGAATGGTACAACAGGTCTGTATCTGTAATTGAAGACAAAACTTACATGTAATTCTTTTTGGTTTTTTCATATTATCCTTCAATCAAAAAATTAGTTTCAGCTTGACAACTTACTATGTAGATTGTCAAAGTGAAATTTCAATTCTACTTGGAGAACAAAACCAAATAAATCTAAGAAATTGCATCCAAGTTTTGTCCATTTGCTAATGCTTGTTCTTTCCATTCAGCCAAAAACGAGATGGAAGAGTTTCTCTAAACCAATTTGTTAATGTTCACACTAACTCTAAGAAACAAGAGCCAAATATCAATAGAGAAACAATTCCTTAGGATATTTGGAAAAAAGAAAAAGACACAAGAGGGTAACAGTTCTCACACTAGATCAAAAGTATACCAAAATGATCTATAACCAAATAATGACACAGGTTTACATCCCTTTATATGAATTTATGCTCATAAAATAACTCCCATCAAGGATTGATGAATTGCAGCTCCGTCTCAAGGCCGGGGCTGAAAAAATGCCAACTAGAATCATGGAATGCAAAATAATAATCATCTGAAACTACTTGGATTCTAAATGCATTTGTGAATCCCCGAGCAGCGAAAATATGCCCCATTGAGTTAAGAATAGGCGAGTTTTTACACAGTGATGCATTTTGCTCATATGTTTCAAAGCTGTTCCCAAATAATACTATGTTTTTTAGGAGATCCAGTTTCCAATTTGCTTGCAACAGGTTGTTATATAACTCTGCTTCACAGTGAGGCATGAAGAACATTGTTGGTTTTAGGGCCTCTCGCCTCCCGTGCTCATTTTTGGACATGACAGAACAACCAAGAGCTTCAAAAACCCGACACTCGGTTGCAGAAAGAATAGGATCAAATACCTCAATGTTTCCAATCCAATCAAAATCTCTTCTCATCAATAATGCAAGGCTAAGCTGCAGTCGAGGGATCTCGTATATTTCAATGCTGCCAATACCATAAATTACCATTTGCATATTTATCTCTGAGCCCAAAACCATATTGATGTAATCAACAATTGATGTTTGGACTTGATCTCTTAAAGTATGATAGAATTCAGAGTTCTCGATCCTATCTATAGATCTTTTCATTTTCTGCATCAATAATGCTTCTTTGCTTGGATCAGTCTGAGAATCAGTTGGAGTCCATGGCTCATGCTTTTCCTCCAAAACTCCATGTTTGGTAGCTTTTCTTCTTTGTTTGCCACGACGGGGTATAACAACCGTCCAGCCTTCATTTGTTGTGTTATTGTCAATTGTTAGAGTTTTCTCTGAAGCTGCCATTCAGATACAATAATTCTCTCGTCTCTGATACACCGTTTCAACCTCAATGCAATACCAAATTCTGGATAAAAATGCGTGGTGTTAGAAATGGCTTTACATGCTTGGTCATTCAAAATAAACAGTAGATTGAATCCATATTACTAGTAAGCAGTAACTAGTACCAATACAGTACTTGCATTCAAGATGGTGGTCAAATTTGTGAATGGATTTTTACACTGAAGTAGGCAAAAAACAAAATGTGAATGAGCATCTTTGCTATAACTTTTTTGTAAAAGAAACCATTGATTATAAATAACCCCGGCATGAAAACCAAAATTATCATTAGAATGCAAAATCAATATACAAAGACCTAGTCGGGAATCAGGATCAGTATCTAATTAAGCTAGATATATTTAAATTACAATTAGTGACATATTTCAAGCTTAAGCTCACTGAGAAATCTTAACAATATAATATGGGAATAGAGGGATTGGAATTGAAATTGGAAATTCCCAACATAAAGTATTTTCTATTGTAGAATGGAACTATGGTAGCATTTAAGGACGACGAACCCTGATAAAATTTCTCAAATTACATGATCCTAGTCCTATTTGTCACTAGATCACATATTCCACGAATAGAAAAAGTATAAGAATAGAAAAACTCAGAGTGCTTTGCCATACGCAAAAAGATGTATAATAGAAAAACTTAGAATAATTGTAAGTTGTAACAACTAGGTAATGAATCTAAAATCTTAATGTGAGAAGTACCAGCTCCATAAACTAAGTGAGAAGCATCCAATCATAGTTAATAATGGTACTCACATTGAGATTACATTTTTCAAGTATCATACACACCAGACACAAGAACAAACAATCAATGGATAGGTTGTCTCTAAAGCAGAACACTGGGCAGCTAATTAACAATCACAATGACCCCAACAATAACAAATTGATCACAGATCAGACTGCCTTTTCAGCTATCCTACAAAACCATGCAATGATTTTAATTTAAATTTTATCGATGGTTATACAATAAATAATTAGTACTAACTTTGCTCTAAGTCAACCACGATTATTTGAAGAGTTCTTTAGTGATGAGTTATCAAAAAGTACATGCGTCTTATTGAAAGTTTTAAATTAGGTCCCAAAACTAAAAATTGTAATCGAGTCTTTGATTTTCTACAACTTTTGCAATTGGGTCCTTGGAGTTAATTTATAGCAGCTTGAAACCACCACAAAAATAATTTGTGGCAGCTTTTACTAACTCTATATGAACCCAATTACAAAAATTGTAGAAGATCAAGAGCTTAGTTACAATTTTCTTTTTTTTTTTTTAGTTTAGGGACATGATATAAAATAATTAAAAAGTTCATGGACCTACTGGTTTCATTGCATTATTACATTTTCTATTTACATCTGATTGGAGTCACTTATATATCTGCTTTGTGTTTTCATTTTAGAGTATTTCTTTGCAAATGATTTACTGTTGTTATGAGAAAACTGGAACCCCCATTTTCATTATGAATAGAAAGCTCACTAGAACTCTGAAGCAGATTGTATTGATCTATCCTCTCATTAATGTTTCTTTTTTGTGCTTTTCCCCATGTGCAGGAATCCACTTCCTGAATCCTGCTGCTGTGCAGTCCATTTTGGATGAAGGAATTGATCTATATAAACTTCATAACAAGAGACATGGAAAGTCAGTTTTATGATATTTCACTTGCATATGTGAAGTTATTTCACTTTTGTTAGTGCATATCGGATGTATTGGATTAATATGCATAGAACTTGCAGTAGAAAGAAGCAACCTAGCTGAATATCAGCCTCCAGTACTTCAGAAAATTTTAGTACCTCACTCTGATATTTGTTTCAAGCTGCAGAAAATGTTTTCGTCTTGCTTGTGTTTTAAGTCAAACTGCAATTTCGTATCTTTAATTTAGTTTTTGGACATTCATTTTGAATTGTCAAATCTATAATTTTCCTCCATCAATTATAGCAAGGTCCAATACCTAAGGCTGTACACACATGCACTCCCCCCAACAATCATAGTGCTATAATGCACTGGAATTTTCCAATACTCTTGGTGGAAATGCTGTGTATCTTAATTCTATTCAGGTTAGAACAACTAGCATTTTTCAACAATATCATCACTTTCTCTGTTCTTTTTGTCTTTTTGTCCACTGCTATATACTGTGTTCATTTAACATTTTAATAACATTTTAAGAAACATTAGTAAGGGAGATTAGACACCACCAGATACTGAAAAGAGGAAATTTGGTACCGTTGTTGAAGCTGCTCTCAGCATGCCAGTTCATAGTAGTCAATACCGGTTGTCGTGGCAGAGCGATTGCGGGTGGGCGACATATTTTCTCTTCTTTTTCCGGCGGACCTCTGCCAATCTGTCTTCTCCGACAGCGGCTCTGTCTTCTTCAACGGTGGCTCTGTCTTCTCTGGCAGACCTGTCTTCTTCTAAGAGGGAAGGCAGCGGCGACCGCTTGAGTCACAGCATTAGAAGGCCGCAGTAAAATAAATTAGGGTTGGAAATGTTGGGTCAAATGGGTCCAAGTTTTATTTTCTCTTTTGATTTGGTAAATGGGCCTTTTATTTCTCTATTTTTTTAGAGAGTGACTTCTCTTTATTTTTAATTATTATTATTATAATTCAGATAATATTTTAAGAAGTAAAAAATTTAATATAAGACTTTAAATATTTTATTTTCTTAATTTTTATTTTGTTTAACTACTATAAATTTTTATTATTGAAAATATTTAATATATAAATTAAGTTATGTTTCTATTTTTATATGTATATTATTAATTACATGTATTATAAATTATTTAATATATATATATATTAGAATAGCGGTATCCTACTATCGGCTATCCCACTTTTGGGGTTGGCTGCTCGGCTACACAGGACTAATAACTGTGCCAGTTACTGAAATTTAAGGCATCCTTAATAAAGTACGGGAAACTTCTGCTATTCTAGTTGCATTCTTCTTTTCTATACTCTGTGCTAAATGAAAACAAACTATTTTTGTTCAGCATCATTTTTTACTTTTAACTGTAAAAGCCATGAAGAGACAAACACAGCCTGAATGAAAGGCAAATCATATTCAAAGTTGAGGAGTGTAATCTATTTTTTAAGGGTGGGGGTAGTGATTGGAGAATGCAAAAGAAAATTATTATATATTTGTTTTTCTGTAATTATATAAGCCTTTAACCGGTTCATATCTATTAAACCCATCTTATTGCATGATCCTAGTCCTATTTGTCACTAGATCTAGATCACAAATTCCATGAATAGAAAAAGTAAAAGAATAGAAAAATTTGGAATGATGGTTACAACTAGGTACCAAATCTAGAATTTTAATGTAAGAAGTACCAGCTCCATAAACTAATTGGGAAGTATCCAATCATAGTTAATAATGATAATCACATACTGATATTACATTTTTTAAGTATCATACACATCAGTCACCAGTGCAAACAATCAACGGATAAGTTGTGTCTAGAACAGAAAATTGGGCAGCTAATTAGCAATCACAATGTTGTGACTTGTGACCCCAACAATAACAAATTGATCACAGATCAGACAGTATTTTCTGCTGTCCAACAAAACCATACAACAATTTTAATTTTAATTTTATAGATAATTGTTATGAGTCTCAACAGAGTAACCCTTTTTAAAAGAAATACCAATGCAAAAACATTCTTCAAAATTCACTAACCCTCTTCAAAGCACTCTTTACTCACAAACCCTTTATAACAGCAGAGAAATACCAATGGCAGTTAGGTTTTTATATTCCCCCATCTAGCCTCAACCTCCTCCACACCATAATTAGGTAAGAGATATAGAAGGACAGAGAAAATCACAATGGTAATGTTCATTTATGACCTTCAATACACATTATCATAAAGGAGCCAACTCACTACAACTTTGACTATTAAACTAAAAGGCAATTGATTTAAACCCAAGTTATGGAAATCTATATTACACTAGAAACTAGGAAGCTAGATGAACCTATCGAAAAAATCAAGAGTTGAAAATATGAATAAAGCAACCTCACATTGCACACTACTGGTCCTATGTTCAAACAATGCGATGACATGCTATAAAAGTATGCCTGTAATACCACCACAAAAAGCAAGAAAGCATGCAGAGTTAGAGCCTATTTTATCCAGTACTTTTTGCTATATTTAAAAGTAAGCAAGTGCTGCAAATGTTGCATGTTTTACACAATCAGTCCAATAAGGAGTAAATGCAACCCAAGAGAAACAATGGTCCACAGTTTAAAACTCTTGAGTCAATACAAAACAATGATCCCAAGAAAGGAAAAAAAGAATGTATGACCCCATATATAAGCAACCTCATACTCCAAGCAAAGAAGTAACTATTTCACTTCCACAAGAATTGCACTAGGCTCACCACACATTCAAGTGTTTGTATAATGGAGTTGACCGACATAAAACTCAAATAGTAGAAATATCAATGCTTTTTACCTTGGCTTCTAAGTTGCCGTCTAAAGTAGTTTGTTGGTCCTGAACCTCTTTTTGAATCAGCAGCTTAACAATGATGAGTCTAAAAGCATAAGCTTAACTCAAACAACATTATTAAAAAAAATGAATAATTATTAATTCACACAAACAAAGGCAAAAAAAAAAAAAGAATAATAATTAATTCATACAAACAAAGGCCAAAAGCAAAAATGTTAGGGCTTCTAAAACAGATATCTAAATGAGGTACAAAATCAATAGATATCTAACATAGGTAATAATTCATATAGACAAACAGCCTTTTCAATCAAAATCAATAGATATCCAATAGTAACTTATGCCCCTCAACAAATTTGTTTAAGATAAAATAATCATAACATTACTCCCGGTCAATAAAATGCGTGTACCCTATCATTCCTCAAAGGAGAAGTTTGAAACAAAATGAGTCTCATCAGAGGGAGATGTTAGAATTAAAAAATAAAAAATAAAAATTGAGCGCATACCAAACAGGGTGATGAAATCTTACGGTGGCGGCCCAGGGTAACGGCAGTGTGTGGTGGCACGACACTGTCATATGGCGGCAAAACACGCGAACATCGTGGGCCTGTGAAGTAGTGAGGTTTCCGATAACACAGGGCAGAGGCGGAGAACAAACCTAACTCCCTATGAGTTAATGAAAGCGAGTGTGCCACTGGGTTGTGTGTGCTATTTTGGATCAATACCACAATACAATATGCAGTTAGCTAATTTATTTTATTTATTTATTTATTTTTAATTGTGAGTGAGAATCTTATTTTTGTATTATATATTTACCTATATTATTCTTTTTTATTTGTTAGTTAGAATGTTATTTATTTATATATAAGTGTAATCAATACCAGTGATTTAAAAATCCTACCGAACCGGCCGGTCGGACCGGTTGGACTGGAAACCGGCGGTCCAGCCGGTCCGAATCTTAAGTTGAATCGGTTATGCAATCGACCCGTTTCAAACTGGATTGAACCGGTCAATTTTTCGGTTCAACCAGTGAACCGGTGGGTCAAACCGGTTCAACAACTTTTTTTCTTGTTTTTTTTAAATTTTTTTAAGGGACCATAAACCACAAAAATAATAATGAAAATTGAATCTCTTAATGGAAAAGCAAGGAGTCTTATTAAATATAACAATGACTACTTGTTCTAATATATTTGTTTGCAATATATACAACTTAAATAACTTTTATAGTATATTATTAATTTTAAATTATATATTTAATAATATAATATCTATGTAAATATTACATATATTATTTTGTGATATTAATTGCAAGCATATTACATATGTACATATTATTTATATTTTTAATTTGTATTAATATATCGTTTAACATGTAATTTTTTATGTATTTTTTTACAAAATAAAAATAAAAATAATTTTTTATAAGATAGAAAAATTGAAATTTAAAATAAGATATGAATTTATTAAAATTTATAAGTATAAAATATATTTAATATGAATATTTTTTAATATAAATAAATAAAAATCGAGTCATGCGGTTCAACTAATGACCTACCGGTTCAACCTTTGACCCACTGACTCAGTACCTTAATCGGTTCGATGACCGGTCCGGTTTTTAAAACTATGATCAATACCATAATACAAATAATTTTGGAAAGCTATTATAACGATAAATATATTAGGCTTAAATATGTTTAAACTACCTCAAATTAACTCGATTTTCAGATTATTATTTTTATAAAAAAAAATTTGTTTAAATTACTTGACTAATATTTTTTTTTTTAATTTAGTACCTGACGTTAGTCTCCTTTGTTAAATGATGACGTGACAAATGGATTGTCACGTAATTTCCCAACAATGTATGTCATGTCAGCACACATGGCCACCTCATTCTCCATGTAAATTGCCACGTCATATTTGAAATTTTTTAAAAAAATTAGTTTCCCAAACCCCCCTCCTTCTCCTCCGCCACGCGCAGCGCCTCCTCCAGCTACGGCAGCGCCGTCTCGCCATCGCCAGACCGGTCCATCAGGAGCGCGTGAGTCCAACAATACACCTAAACCCATGACTCACCCCTCTCTCTCTGTCACTCTCTCATGCCTTCTTAGCAACACGACATCGTTTTCCATGAAGAGGACATGGACGACGACGACGAGTCCGAGGAGGACGAAGAATATGAAGAGGATGACAATGAAGAAAATGACCCCTCTCTCTCCGCCTCTGCCGCTCTCGTCGTTATTGTCGTTGTCCCCGGTTCCACCGTCTCCAACGGCGCCCCCGCCCCGATGTTGGCACCCCTTCCACCACCGTCGTGGTTGCCGACTCCTCCAATCCGAAGCGGCGGCGCGTGGACCAAATCAAGGAGAAAAAGCCACTAGATGACTCGTAACGGCTCTTCCAGCGGTTGTGGACCGACGAAGACGAGATCGAGCTCCTGCAAGGCTTCCTCGACTACACCTCGCAGCGAGGATCCTCTCAACACAACGACACCGCTCTGTTCTACGACCAAATCAAGTCAAAGCTCCATCTCGATTTCAACAAGACATTGGCTGTGGCGAAGGAGGAGCTGGCTGTGACGAAGGAGGCGCTGCACGGTGGTTTCGACGTTGCTCTCGAGGAGGTCAGCAAGCGCGGCGGGGGCTTCGGGGCAGCGACGGAGGACAAGTGCGGGCGGGGAATTGGAGGGCGATGGTGGCGAATACGGCAGCACTGGCGAGGGTTTTGAGGTTGAGGAATGAGGGGGGTTTGGGAAACTAATTTTTTAAAAAAAATTCAAATATGACGTGACAATTTACATGGAGAATGAGGTGGCCATGTGTGCTGACATGGCATACATTATTGGGAAATGACATGGCAATCCTTTTGCCACGTCATCATTTAACAGAGGAGACTAACGTCAGGTACTTGTAGACACCCAATTGCGTCCGGGGGCATACAAACAAGGAAATGGGTCTCTGTTATGAAGTGAAGGAACTCCCGAAGCATGTAAACAACAAGATAGGACATCAGAAGGCCTAAAGCCCAAATAAATTGGTTTTAGTGGCCTGGAACGGGCTGTTCCAAAATTAGAACGGGTCGTTTCAAGCCACAAAAAAGGCCTAAAAACCTAGCCCAGAACGGGCTATTCCAAAATAGGAACGGGCCGTTCCAAGCCACACAAAAGGCCTAAAAACCTAGTCTGGAATGGGTCGTTCCAAAACCAGAACGGGTCGTTCCAAACTAGGCAAAAGGCCTAAAAATAATAGGCTGGAACGGGCCGTTCCAAACTGCTAAAAAAGCCTAAAAACTTAGTTTGGAATGGGCCGTGCTAGCAAGGCATTTTTGTGTTAATCTCAACTCTAGAACGGGCCGTTCTGATTTCAGAACGGGTCGTTCCAGGGTAAGAATTTACACATAACGTTCGGATCCAGAACGGGCCGTTCTGGATTTGGAACGGGCCGTTCTAGCACCCTTTTGATGCTTATAAATAGACCGCTTGGGCACAGTTCTCAAGACCATAAAATTTCGTCCAGAACTCCTTAGAGCTCGAAATTTCTCTCTCTCTCCCTCCTATTGTATTTCTTGAGATTTGTGAGGCATTTGTGTAGTGTGAAAGGTTGCCACAAAGCACCTAGAATTTTCATATCAGAAGATTTAACAAAGCTTGCTACGAGGTATTTCAATTAATCTTCTTCTCTCTCTTTTATTTCTTATTTTTGATAAGTATTATTATAATAAAAACAATCATGTAGGGGTGCTTAATACCTTCCCTATACGTAACCGACCCCCGAACCCAATTCTGGTTATTAAGGCCATTATTGTACTTTTTAAAAACCTTTTCTTTTTCCAATGTTTTACGTAAAATATTGATGGCGACTTCATGAACTCATTTTTCAAAACCATTGATTAAGGATTAGTCTGGTGTCTGAGCGTGGTTTGGTTTTACTGCAAACCAATATCAGAATTTATTAGCTCTGCTGCCACAACAAGATCAGAGGGACTCCACACAGCATACTGCTCATGTGAATGCTTTTACTAATTCAAATCCAACAAGCAATGGTAATGTACTAATCTCTAGATGGATCCTGGACACTGGTGCCACGGACCACATCTCAAATTCCCTCAGTTACTTTACTGCATACAAGAACATACCACCTATCAAAGTATCCCTGCCCAATGGAATCTTAGAGTCAGCCACCGTTTCTGGCACAATTCATCTTTCATCTAGTTTTGTTTTGACTGATGTTTTATTTCTGCCAAGCTTCAAATTCAATCTGATATCAGTTACAAAATTAATTCAAACCCTTCATTGTAAACTGACTTTCCTTGATGACATTTGTTTAATACAGGATTCCAATGCTTGCAAGATGATTGGCATAGCTAAAGCAGAAAGAGGCCTATAAAAATAATGGACTTCAAACTATACCAAATGGATGTCAAAAGTGCTTTTCTAAATGGTTTTATTCAAGAAGAAGTTTATGTTGAACAACCCCCAGGATTTGAAAACTCAGAATTTCCAAACCATGTCTTTAAGTTGAAAAAGGCTCTATATGGATTAAAACAAGCTCCTAGGGCATGGTATGAAAGACTAAGTAAATTTCTTTTGGAAAAATAATTTACAAGGGGAAAGGTTGATACAACACTATTTATCAAAAGAAAAATGAATGACATTCTTTTAGTACAAATCTATGTTGATGATATTATTTTTGGAGCTACTAATGACTACTTGTGCAAGGAATTTTCAAATGATATGCAAAGTGAATTTGAAATGTCCATGATGGGAGAACTAAATTTTTTCCTTGGACTACAAATAAGGCAAACCAAAAATGGAATTTTTATTAATCAAAGCAAATACTGTGGTTTGGTTTTACTGCAAACCAATATCAGAATTTATTAGCTCTACTGCCACAACAAGATCAGAGGGACTCCACACAGCATACTGCTCATGTGAATGCTTTTACTAATTCAAATCCAACAAGAAATGGTAATGTACTAATCTCTAGATGGATCCTGGACACTGGTGCCACGGACCACATCTCAAATTCCCTCAGTTACTTTACTGCATACAAGAACATACCACCTATCAAAGTATCCCTGCCCAATGGAATCTTAGTGTCAGACACCATTTCTGGCACAATTCATCTTTCATCCAGTTTTGTTTTGACTGATGTTTTATTTCTGCTAAGCTTCAAATTCAATCTGATATCAGTTACAAAATTAACTCAAACCCTTCATTGTAAACTGACTTTCCTTGATGACATTTGTTTAATACAGGATTCCAATGCTTGCAAGATGATTGGCACAGCTAAAGCAGAAAGAGGCCTATACATTTTCACAATAATGAGATCACTGGTAATCAAGTGCAAACTCGATACATCAAATTGGAAGCACTTAAAAACTAGTAATTGTGCAAGAAGACTAGGGGGCATAACACGCCCAAATTGACAATTCAAACACCAAGAGCTCCCCATGAGGAAATGACAAGACAAAATCCAATTGAAGAGGAATGATCAAGAATGGATGAATCCTTGCTTCTAGGGAATTACAAGACAAAATCCAATTGAAGAATAAAGGCATTGCATGAAAAAAACCCGCTAGGACAAAAACCCGTAAAGGGCGTCTTAAGCAAAAATTAGGGTAAAGGAATCAAAATCCCGATAGGATAGATCCTATACAAAAGTTAGGGATATATATATATATATATATATAAAGGCAATGCCTGCTCAAGTTGAAAACTGA